AATATTTTGCAGTCAGATCAAAACCCTATGCTCTTTCATGCAACCATCTTACTGAAACGTGTCAAAAGAGTTCAGTAATTTTATATTTCAGTGATACATCTGAAGATGAACTTTAGACAAGGTGGGTGAAGGCAGTGGTCAAAAGATGTTCACCTTAGCTGGACATGGTGGTTCACATCTTTAATCCTAGCAGATTAAGGCAGAGGCAGAGGTAGGCAGATCCCCAAGTTTGAGGCCAGTATGGTCTACAGAGTGAGTTTCAGGACTCAAAAGTAAAAAAATAACATTTTAATTTAAAGATATTCAGCTTTACTACAAATGTTTTCTTTTTTTGTCTGTCTGTCTGTCTCTGCTTTGTTTTGCTTTGTTTTTTGAGACAGAGTTTCTCTGTGTATCCTTGGTTGTCCTGAAACTCACTTTGTAGACCAGGCTGGCCTATCTCTGCCTGCATGAGAACTGAGATCAAAGGCATGCGCCACCACCACCCAGTGAAATGTTTTTACTTTAACAAGGAAAGGGAAATTGGCTGAGGCACAGGTCTGTAACCTCAGCTACCCACGAGTCTGGAGTCTGAGCGGGGAAGATTAAGAGTTCAAGGCCTGACTGAGCTAGAGAGTAAATTCAAGGCCAGACTGTGTCATTCAGCAAGACTTTGTCTCAAATCGAAAAATACAGAAGGACATGGAGATCTGCAGCTCAGTAGCAGGAGGCCTGCCTAGCTTGTGCCACCCTGGGTTTGATTCCTCCTCACCCCCACAAGAGAAAGAGAGAAATCAGAGTCTCTGATGTCTTTCAATAAAGGCAAGGAAGGAAACATGGGAACTCAATAGCAGAGACCGTGAACGAGCGGAAGCATGACTGACATGGTCTTTCTGAGGGATTTCAGATTTGTGGAAGCTATTTTTACATTTTGTTCATTTAGTGTGTGTGTGTGTGTGTGTGTGTGTGTGTGTGTGCGTGTGTGTGTGTGTAGTTCAGAGGACAACCTTCAGGATTTGGTTCTCTTGTCACACCACGTGACTTCCAGGGATGGAACTCAGGCCAACAGGCCGGGCAGCAATAACTTTATCCACTGAACCATCTCCCGACTGAGCCATCTTGTTGGCTTCTATTTTTGCTGTTGTTTTGTTTGAGACAGGGTCTCACGTAGCCCAGAGTGGAAATGAACTTACTACAGAGTCAAAGATAGGCTTTGCTGTCGATTTTCCTGCATCTACCCACTGACGCTGGAATTACAAGTGCACATCAACACCCCCAGCTGATTTCCAAGGTTTTAGTTATTATTTAGACTTATTTTGTGTGTATGAATGCTTATCTCTGTGTGTGTGTGTGTGCGCGTGAGCGTGTGCGTGTGTGTGTGTATGTGCATCATGTGCTTGCTGGTGCTTGCAGAAATCAGAATCGGAGAGCAAATTCCTTAAAACCAGAGTTATAGATAGTTGTGAACCACAATTCAGGTGCTGAGAACTGAACCCAAGTCCTCTGCAAGAGCAACAAGTGCTCCTAACTTCTGAACCATCTCTTCAGCATCCTGATTTCAAGTTGGGGCTGGTGATACAACTCTGTAGTAAAAAGCTATTTGCCAGACAATAGATTCAAGATCCTGTATGGGGGGAAAATCTCACCTTGGAATCATTCATTTCTTATTCTTTTCAAGCCAAGAAGCCTGACAACCCTGGGGAGGAAGATGTGCTTGGAACTGAAAAAGAAAAAGGCCCGCAAGACCAGCACGTCTTTGGAATGTGCCATAGTCCCCACACTAGAGCTCTGGACTTGCTCCCTGTAGGAAGCACTTTTCACCTCACTAGCCAGACCATGATGATTAAGTTCTACAACCTTCCAAACCAGCACCCTTGACTGTAGAACAGCCCGTATATATGAACTTAGGGCCTTGTGGGATAGTTCAGCAGGCAGAGGGACCCAGGGCCAGGCTGAAGCTCTGAGTTTGATCCTGAGTACCCACACAGTAGGAGAGAACCAAATCCTCCAGGTTGTCCTCTACCTGCTAGATTTGGGCCTTGGCATGCACACACCTACCACACATTTATCCATATTCCCAGGCACACACAATAGAAAGAAAGAAGAAAAAAAAGAAAAAAAGAAAATACTATTTTAACCAGATGGTGGTGGCACATGCCTTTAATCCCAGCACTCGGGAGGCAGAGGCAGGGAGGTCTCTGTGTCTCTTCACCCAAGCTCCTGGCATAAACTCTTTCCCCTAGGAGTTGCCTCAGTCCAAACTCCACCTCTGAGAAAGCCCACCAAATGGTAACTCCTCCCCAGGGAAGGTCGGGACCACTCCCACAAGCTATTTAAACTGCCCTCCAGAGAATGAACACATGGTCTTCAGGTTTCACAAGGTCTCCGAGTTTCGCGTAGTCTTCCCCTCTCCATGTTCTCCCAGTCTTTCCCTCTCCATGTTCTCCCAGGGCCACCAGGGAGTAAAGCCATCTATTAAACATGGGCGTATTTTATTCAGGTTTAATTTGGTCTGATTGGAATTATTTACGTCCTAAGAAAATACCTAACAATATGTGCATAATAAATGTATATATGTAAAAGATCAAAAAAAGCATAAACAGAAAGGAAAAGTAACTAAGTACAGATGTACAAGAAATGATGTTTTAAATCTATAATCTCAACAGTGGGGAGGCTGACAGTGAGTTCCAGGTCAGCCTACTCTACATAGGGAATTTGGAAGGCCAAGGTGGGCCACAGTGTGAGATCCTGTCTCAAAAGAACTAAAAGTAAAATCCAGTATTTCCACTTCTAGTTAGACATCCATAGGAAAGAAGATCAGAACTAGGCTGAGTGTTGCATTTCTGAAACCCAAGCAGTGAAGATGAGAGGCAGGAGAATAAAGTGTTTTAGGCCAACCTGAACTATGCAGCAAGACTCTGATGCTAATAAATAAAACAAACAAAGCCACATGCTAGGCCTTTAATCCCAGCACCCAGGAGGCAGGTGGATCTTTGTGAATTCAAGGCTAGCTTGGTCTACACAGGGAGTTCCAGGACAGGCAGGCCTGTTACACAGAGAAACCCTGTCTCAAAAAAAAAAAAAATCAAAAACCAACCAAACAAACAAAAACAAAAAGCAAAACAAAACAAAAAACCACACCACTACCAACAAAAACACCTCAGAAAATAAAATCAAGAGGGTGAAGAGATATCTGTTTTCCAGGGTTTGTTACAGCACTGTTCAGAATAGTCAAGAAATTGAGTTAACCTATATGTTCATGAATAAATAAAATGCGGTACACATACATAATGGGATACTATCCAGCCATATAAAATAATTAAATCTTGTGAACTGCAACAGAACATGGAGGCAATCAAAGGCCACTATGTGAAGTGACTTAAACCAGGTGCCCAAACTGGACAATCCTGTTCATCCGCAGAACCTAAAGGAAGTTATTTCATAATAGATTTTTCTGTTCTTCATTTTAATCTTTTTAAGACAAGTTCTCAGGTAGCCCAGCCTAGCCTGAGTATAGGGCTGAGTATGACTTCAAACTGCTGATCCTCCTATCGCTCCTTCTCAAGTGCTGAAATTGCAGAACTCTGAAGCCATTTCTGACAATTCTAAGCCCTCTCAGTCTCAGCAGTAATGCTCTCCCCTTCCTCCCTGGGAACTAAAGGCCTAACAGCTACTGAAATGTTGGAACTTTCCATTTCCCTGAGTCTTTGTGAATGTTGTTCAGAAATTGGGGCAAGATAAGATAAGATGTTGACTCAGTTCCTGAACAACTACCCACACACGTATGTTTTGACTCAGTCCCTGGGAAACGGGGTCAAAGTGACCCCTTACCTCATCTGATCTGGCAACCACTCTCCAGCCAATTATTGGTAATAGCCCTTTTGAAAAAGTCAATCATAATAGTCAAAGAACAACTCCCAGACACCCCTCCCACCCCACTTCTGTGGCTTTTTCCTTTAAAAGTAGCCTGTACCAGCTATTTGGGGTCTTTCTGGCCTCTAATGCTGGAAGACCCTGTCATGGCAGAATTAATAAAATCCTCATGCTTTTACACCAGCTGTGGTATGAGAGGTAGTCTCTGGGGGTGACTCCTCCTCGGTGTTTGGACTCTAGGATCCAACAAAATCACAGGCAAGTATGGCTATACCTGGCTGGAAGTTGAAGGTATGGAGTTTATATATCTCAGAAAGGAAAGAGCGGATAGATGGGAGAGAGAGCTTTTCAGCCCAGTCTGGCCTGAAACTCACAATGTAGTCCATGCTGGCATGGAGTTTATGGCAATTTTTCTGCATCACCATCTTGAACGCTGGGACTCTAAGTGTGAGCAATCGCATAGGGCTCACAATTCTCAAATTTACATGCTCTAGCTTACGTTCATTTCCAGTACTGAACTGCATATATGACACTGTTATTATTCTATCTTAGAAACGTATCAAATTGACTCTGAGGCCCCTAAACCTTGCAGCCATCACACACTAGGAGACAGCAAATCCAATGATCTAGTGACCCAGAAGTCCGAGCCTCTGTGGAGGCTGTTTTGTGCCACGAAACATCTAGGGTAGTAAGGATGGATGATGGAATAAATAAGTTGAATTCCCCACGAAGAATGTTAGGCTTCATTTTCTGTCGCCAGCTCAGAAAATGATCTTGGTAGAAAGTATCTGAAAAAAGACAAACCAAAAGAACAGCTGAGCAACAGGATCCACACAAAGTTGCACGAACCCTAAGATGGGCAAATCTTTTTGCTTCCCAAATTTCTCCGGATGAACAACAGCAGTCTTACCCCTGTTCCTAGGTCTTCCCCCACAAATTCCGTCCTCTAGATGTCCCCGCATTTGAGAGAAACTGGGACCTTTGAGCGCCTTTCACACTAGGTGTGCCCTTTACACTAGATGTGCTCCCCGTTTGGTAGGACAAGTGGGAAAAATGAAAAATACTACATTACCCAGAAGACTATGCTGTGCGTGGGCCCAATAATAGACCAGAACGGGGTGTACTTCCGGTTACTCGCCGCGGACACCATTTGCCTCAGCAAATCGGTTCCCAAGGGGCTTGAGTTTTCGGAACATCGGGACTCTAGGGTCAGTTTCCAAGCCTGTGGCGGGATTCGAAAAGGACCGGAACGTAAAAATTTTCCCCGGAAGCCTGCACGAACCTGTGTAGTCTGGTCCTCCGGAGGACCGCAACCTCTCAGTCTCGTCCTTCAGCCCGCAGCCCCCAAGGGCAACGGTTCGTGCAGATTCGTCATTCCACGGAAGATCCCGAGGTCCCGAGTACAGCCGGTTTCCATGGTCACCCGGCTAAGGCCGGATGCGCTTTGGGAGCTTCAGCCGAGGCCTGCAAGGCGCTTGATTTCCCCCACTCCCCCAAAAACAGTCTAACTATGGCGGCCTGGAAGGACCACCCGCAGGTTAGTGGACTGTGAGCTTTAAATCACTGATCAGGGAACCGAGAGAGCCCCCTGGGTGGAACTCTACCGTTGTCATTCTTTTGGGGCCACGGAGGCTTCCGACAGAAGCTCGGTTTGGACTGGAATTTCCAAAAGGAAGCTGAGCTAGAATGCCAGTGACTGTGGAGGTATTGGAATGTTGCGGGTCAAGAGCCTGTTTACTAATTATCTTGGGCTATCTTTAGCCACCTATAGAACAGGTTTCTCTACTGGACTCTAACCTACCTGCCTGAAGTGAGTGTTTTTGAAAAGTTATCTTTATTTATGTCCTTTGTTTTGTATCTTAAAACTTTTGGAACAACAACAAGTCAGTAAAATGACATTTTGCCGGGTGGTTTTGGCACACGCCTTTAATCCCAGCACTCGGGAGGCAGAGGCAGGTGGATCTCTGTGAGTTCGAGGCCATCCTGGTCTACAAGAGCTAGTTCTGGGACAGGCTCCAAAGCTACACAGAGAAACCCCTGTCTTGAAAAAACAAAACAAAAAAGAGAAAGAAAGAAAGAAGAAAACAGAAAAAAAAAAGGAAAAAACAAAATCTTTTGGAACATGGCATTTGGGTTAGCCTAAATCTGAGTTCCTGGACCATGGATAGCTTCAGAATAAACTCTTCCCACCTTTGAGGTGAGGAACCGTGTTTTTTACGTTGTCATTGGTAGGTAAGCCGTTGCAACAATAAATGATGCTTCCTCTACAGGGTCAGGTCATACTTATAATTCCTACTGTGCTGTAAGGATCCACCAAGACTGACCAGGTGTCTGCGCAGCAATACTGGTTTAAAAAAGTCACTGAAGGCTAGGGCATTCTAGGTAGGGAGACATACCTGGCATTATTTATCCTTGACCATCGTGTTCCCGGTTTTTGAAGTGTCCTAACATCAGGGGCAGGGCTGTCAGAATCCTGTAAGGAAAAAGGTAGACGTCTCATTGTGAAATTCCCCTGGGAATCTAGGCGGCCTAAGAAAGGTCTAGACCACGTGGGAAGCTGGTCGGGACGTTGTCTCAAGTAGCTGCTAGTACCTTTCTTGTTGTTCTTGATTTAGACAAGGTCTTACTGTGTAGCCCAGGCTGGCTTCAGATTTGAAATTCCTTATCAGCTCCCCTAAAGCTGGGATTACGGGTGTGAACTGCCACAACCAACTAAAGTACATTTGTTATGAAGCCAGCTATAAACCTTGCTTTATCTAGCCTTGTCAGAGGGTGTTTTTCAGAGGTGATTAAATGGGTTTATCAGCAAAAGAAGAAAAAAAAAAGAAAAGAGTGGAAACACTCCACAAACTCCCGAATTTTAAAAAAAATCTTCCTTAAATGATAGCGTGTGTTAGCATAAAGGTATGTGCAGTTGAGTACTGTGCCCTCGAAGGCCAGAATAGCTGGAGATAGTGCCGTGGGAACCAAACTCAGCAGCTCTCCAGCTCTTCATCTTGTTTTTGAATAAGCTTGTTACTTTGGATTCTCCTTGCTATTAATGGAGTGCCAGAATTATTGTTACAACAACCTTGCCATCCTTGCCTGTGGTCTCCGATGTGTGGCCCCTGGTGAGCTGGCCAAAGTCCTTTAGCTTCCGGCACTCACTGCAATGTGAAGATCTAACGATGGTGACCGCAGAGGCTGTGGGAAATTAAGAGCATTTTTATAGTGGGCACTGGAGACTTTCTCTTTTAAAAATTCCTGTTGTCAGGGCTAGAGAGATGGCTCAGTGGATAAGAGCACTGGCAGCTCTTCTAGAGGACCTGGGTTCAATTCTTAGTACCCACATGGTAGCTCACAGCTGTCTGCAACTCTAGTTCAGGAGGATCTGGTATTCTCATAAAGACAGACAGACATCAATGTGGGTAAAAACATCTGTGCACATAAAAATATGTAAATTAAAAAAATTCCTGTTGTCGGATAGAAACGTTTTGTTTGTACAGTTATTTAGTGTGTATGCGTGCATGTGTAAGGAGATCAGAGGACAGCCTAGAGGAATTGTGAAACCGTATTGGATTCAATGAGCCATCCTGGCAGCGTCGAAAGTGGTTGCTATGAGCATCACGGAGAGGCTCTACTCGTGCCTGTACCGCGTCCCCTTCATGTCTTCATTCTTCTCGTTTCCTAGACTCCTTGTCTGCATTTTGTAGTCTACATGTTTTTGTTGTCTGTCTTTCTGAGGCAGTAATCTTTTTTATTTCCCGAGACAGAGTTTCTCTGTAGCTTTGGAGTCTGTCCTGGAGCCAGCTCTGTAACCCAGGCTGGCCTCAAACTCAAAGAGATCCGCCTGCCTCTGCCTCCCGAGTGTTGGCGCCAGGCGTGCGCCACCACTGCCTGGCTGAGGCAGTAATCTTTTCACCTGTATTTATTTATTGTTTTTTATCGTATGTGTTTTTTTTTACTTCATTTATGGTGTGTGTGTGTGTGTGTGTGTGTGTGTGTGTGTGTGCCTGTATGTAACAGCTTGAGTGTGGAGGTCAGAGGACAACTTTAGGGCATCAGTTCTCTCTACCATGAGTTCCAGGTGTCAAACTCAGTGGGCAAACTTAGCAACAAGTGCCCTAACTCACTGAGCATCTTACTAGCCCAGTTCTTTGGTTTCTCTTTTGTTTTTGAGATAGAGTCTCATGTAGCACAGGCTGGCTTAAGTTTGCTGTGTAGCCCAGGCTAGCTTTGAAATAGTAGCGATCTTCTTGCCTTCAGCCTTAAAGTTTTGGGGTTAGAGGTGTGAGCTATCAGCCTCTGATGACTCTTAACCCAGGACGCTTCTCTCCTTACACCTCTGTGTTCTCCAAGCGTTATCTTCCTAACCTTGAAACCCACCGCGAAGTGTCTGTAGATGGGAAGGTGACCTGTGTGGTTTGGACCTTCATCGCTCTTAATCTGTTTCAGTGAGGCAGAGTCTAGTTCCTCTCAGGGAACCTCAAGGCTAACACTGAAGCCTCTGTTTGACTTGGCAAGGTGTCTCTGACCTTTGAAGATGTGGCTGTGGCTTTCACCCAGGAGGAGTGGGGACAGCTGGACCCTGCTCAGAAGACTCTGTACCAAGAGGTGATGCTGGAAATCTCTGGGTTCCTGGTAGCTCTGGGTAAGGTTTTCTACTTTACTTTAAGAAATAATTTATTTATTTTGTATACATGTAGTGTGTGGTATACTGCAGTAAAAGGAGCAGCGGGCCGTTTCCTATCGCCTGGCTCCTGGCTAGCTTTACCCGAAATAATTACAAGGAAACTGTATTCATTTAAACACTGCTTGGCCCATTAGTTCTAACCTCTTATTGGCTAACTCTCACATATTAGTTTAACCCATCTCCATTAATGGATATTGCCACTTGACTGTGGCTTACCGGCATGAGTCTAACCAGTGTCGGTCTTGGAGAGGAGAGCCATGGTGTCTGCCTAACTCTGCTTCCTTTCTCCTAGCATTCTGTTTGGTCTATTCCACCTATCTAAATTCTGCCCTATCAAAAAGCCAAGGCAGTTTCTTTATTTGACCAATGAAAGTAACACATAGAAAGAAGATTCTCTTGACCAATGAAAGTAACGTATAGAAAAACGATCCTCCTATACCAGTATACACATGTTGTGTGTGGACCAAAGGGCAACTTGCAGAAACTAGTGCTCTCTTTCGACCATGACCAACTCAGGTTGTCGGGTTTGGTGGCTAGCAACTTAGCCATCTTGTAAGCCCCCACTCTACCCTGCCCCACCTTTTTAAAAGTAGGATCTTCTCACTCTGCAGACCTGGCTGACCTGAAATCACACTATGACCTCAAACTTGGAGGGAATCCTTTTGGAATTCATGGACATTTGTGTGTGTGCATGCACGCGTGCGCGCGCACACACACACACAGACATGCACACACAGACACACACAGATGCACTGTGGTTTAAATGAGAAATGTCCCCATTGACTCAGGCATTTGAACAATTGATCCTTGGTTGGCGATGCTGTTTGGAGAGGTTTGGGATGTGCAGCCTTGCTGAAGGAAATATATCACTGAGGGTAGGTGTTGAGAGTTTGAGGCCTCGCCATCCTTCAGTTCACTCTGCTTCCCTTGTGGTTAGTGATAGGATATTTCAGCTTCCTGCCCCTGTTACCATGCCTGCCTGCTGCCGTGTCTCCCTACTGCTGTGAACCCTTATCCTGCTGAAACCCAAATGAACTCTTTCTTCTATAAATGGCTTTGGTTATGGTATTTTATCACAGCAAAAGAGAAGTAACTGATGCATCCATAAATAATGCAATCAATCTTTAAAAATAAATGGATGGATAAATAAATAAGAAGACCCTCTGGTCTCGTTTCCCATGTTCACTTCAGCCTGAGACTCACCCTGCTGCAGTCTCCCTGAGCTCCCTGCTTACCATCAAGATTGTGCTTGACATTTTCCTGTGTTTGGGGCGTGCTCTCATTATAGTGCAGCATCTCACGTGGCTGCCATTTCTCAGCGCAGTCAGCATCTTCTCACAAGATCATTCCCGACTAGTAAATATTCTGACCTGTTGTGTGGCTCGGTGGTAAAGGTTCTTGCCACCAAGCCTGATGACCTAAGTTTGATTCCCAGATCCCACACAGTAGACAGCCCACAAGTGGTCTTCTTGTCTCTATTCATGCATACGTCGTGGCATGCCATTCCCAGTAGACACAAAAACCTTTTATTTTATTTTATTTTTAGAGAAAGTGTTTCTCTGTGTACCCCCTGGCTACCCTGGAACTCACTCTGTAGACCAGGCTGGCCTCAAACTCAGAGATCCACCTGGCTCTGCCTCCGGAGTGCTGGGATTAAAGGCAGGCGTGCGCCACCAAGGCCTGGCTTCTCCCAGGCTTTTGTGAGGGCAGGGCAGAATTGTTCTTCCATAGGAGGTTATGGAGATAGGGGAACTTTAAGAATGGAGATGACTAATTACCATTCAGGGGTAGAGAATGATTCCCCCCCAACACACACACACACACACACACACACACACACACACACACACACACACACACACTGAGCTAAGTCTTTCCATATCAGTTACCTTAATCAAGACTGTCCTCTGGCAAACATGCCCATAGGCCAACCCAGTGTAGGTAATCCCTCACTGAGATTCTCTTCCCAGGTAATTGGAAGTTAATATCCCAGGTAATAGGTAGTGTTGAGTTGCCAAAGCTAACCATCACAGTAGTGGTTAGTGTATTCCTCCCTCCACTGCTGTGACCGTTCCTATCCCGCTGTGTCATACCTACCTCCTCCGTCCATCTGTCCCAGCTTGTGCTCTGCCACGGGAGCAAGCCAGTCTGGCTACTGAGAAGACTGCCTTCAAGAGTGACTTAAGCCTCTTGTCTTACTGTATTGTTCATTGTATTATCCTCTTTGTTACAGCCCAAAAGGCCAATACAAATAATTTACTTTTTTTGTTTTGTTTGTTTGTTCTGGTTTTTGAGGCCAATTTTCTTAGTAGACAGGCTGCCCTGAAACTCACTGTGTGGCCCAGGCTGGCCTCTAAGCGGCTGTTATTCTTTCTCAGCTCCTCAAGTGCTGGGATCTGATAAGTGTCATCTTATAAAGTATGGCATACTGTATGTTTTTTTTCCATTTTGGTTTTTCATAACAGGGTTTCTCTGTGTAGTTCTGTCTGGCCTGGAACTCAGAGATCCAGCTGCTACTGCCTCCCTAGTGCTGGGGTTAAAATCATGCACCACCACCACCTGGCTATTAGTTTCTTTAAAAGAAAAGAATTAATTTCAGGCCAGCATGATAGTTACACACCTTTAATCATAGCATTTGGAAACAAAGGCAGGCGGATCTCTGCTTTTGAGCCTAGACTGTTCTCCATAGTGAGTTCCAGGACATCCAGAGCTCTGTAGTGAGACTCTGTTTTTCAAAACAAAACAGCTGGGCGGTACTGGTGCACACCTTTAATCCCAACACTCTGGTGGCAGAGGCAGGTGGATCTCTGTGAGTTCAAAGCCAGCCTGGTCTACAAAATGAGTCCCAGAATAGCCAGACTATTACACAGAGAAACCTTGTGTCAACACCCACTCCCCCAAAAAGAAAGAAATGAAGAAAATACATTACATTTTAAAATGTTTGTATGCACACATGTATGCAGGCATGCTACAGTGTGTGAAGGTCAGAGAACAAGTCGTGGGAGTTGGTTCTCTTCCTCCCACCATGTGAGTCCCAGGAATTAAACTCAGGTTCTGCCTCAGTTTTTTTGTTTGTTTGGTTTTGGTTTTTCTTTTTTCTTTCTTTTTTTTTGTATTGATATTTATTGAGCTCTACATTTTTCTCTGCCTCTCCCCTCCCCACTTCAACCCTTCCCCAAGGTCCCCATGCTCCCAATTTACTCGGGAGATCTTGTCTTTCTTTATCCTTTCTACTTCCCATGTAGATTAGATCTCTACTTAGTATAGAGGACTTAGTGTCCTCATTGTTGTCTAAATTCTCTGGGATTGTGGTTTGTAGGCTGGCTTTCTTTGCTTTATGTTTAAAAACTACCTATGAGTGAATACATGTGATAATTGTCTTTCTGGGTCTGGGTTACCTCATTCAAAATAATGTTTTCTACCTCTATTCATTTTCCTGCAAAATTCAAGCTGTTGTTTTTTTGTTTTTTTGGTTTTTTTTGTTTTTGTTTTTTGTTTTTGTTTTTTGCTGTGTAGTACTCCATTGTGTAAATGTACCACATTTTTCTTATCCATTCTTCGATTGAGGGGCATTTAGGTTGTTTCCAGGTTCTGGCTATGACAAACAATGCTGCTATGAACATAGTTGAGCACATGTCCTTGTGGCACGATTGAGCATCCTTTGGATATATACCCAAAAGTGGTATTACTGGGTCTTGAGGAAGGTTGTTTCCTAATTTTCTGAGTAATCACCACACTGACATCCAAAGGGGCTGTACCAGCTTGCATTCTCACCAGCAATGCAGAAGTGTTCCCTTTTCCTCACAACCTCTCCAGCCTAAATTGTTATCAGTGTTTTTGATCTTGACCATTCTTACAGGTGTAAGATGGAATCGCAGAGTTGTTTTGATTTGCATTTCTCTGATGACTAAGGACGTTGAACATTTCCTTAAGTGTCTTTCAGCCATTTTAGATTCCTCTGTTGAGAGTTCTCTGTTTAGGTCTGTACTCCATTTTTTATTATTATTATTGGATTATGTGATCTTTTGGTGTCCAATTTCTTCAGTTCTTTGTATATTTTGGAGATCAGACCTCTGTCTGATGTGGGGTTAGTGAAGATCTTTCCCCATTCTGTACTCAGTTTTGGCAGCAGTGCCTTTACTGACTTGACTGAGTGATTGTGCCAGCCAAGTATTGGTTTTTGATGAACTGTTTAGTATGGAATAGCAAACTTTTAGCTTCTGAGTTATGTTTCACTTTTTTTGTGTGTGGATGGGAGTAGCTTCATTCCAAGGTCCGGACCAAATCCTGTGAGATGGAGGGTCTTTTTCTTGTTTCGTCAAATCCTGTGAGATGGCGGGTCTTTATCTTGTTTCACCAATATCTCTGTGTGCTTTCTTGTTCTCCCTGAAGGGTATTCTGTTCCCACACTGAAGCTGCTGGAGCAAGGGCAGGAACCATGGGCAGTGACAACGTCCCTCTCCCAAAGCACCTGCTCAGGTAAGAGTCCAGGAGGAAGGGCCTGGAGGTCAGACAGGGGTCTCCTGGGAAGAGTCCAGGAAAAAGGGCCTGAAGATCTGGACAGGGGTCTCCTGGAAAAGTTGTTTTTATTTCTGTGTCTGTGAGTGCATACACAGGTATGTAGGGTTGTCAGAGGCGAGAAGAGAGCACCAGATCCCCTGCGGCTGAAGTTACAGGCTGCCATGAGAAGCCTGGTGCGAGTACTGGGAACTGAACTCAGATCCTTTGAAAGACCTAGTCTTCTTAACTACTGAGCCATCTCCAGCCTGCTGGGACACTTCTTAGTGGATCACTTCAGGATCTAGAGCAGTAGAACCCTGAGATCTGGCTCTTCTGATTCCCCAGCCTTGACCCATTTGTCCCTGCTCCTGGAAGGGAGACAGGTTCCTAAGCTACTCTCTTGGGACCCCTCTGCGTGCTTGAACTACCCTGGCTTCCTTGTCACGAGCTCTGTGACTCTGGTGAAGCTGATCAGTCACTTGTGGTTTGAAGTGCATTCATTACTTTCCTATCGCTGTGATAAAACAGCATGACCAAGCAACTACAGAAGGAAGTGTTTGTTCGGCTTATGCTTCATGAGGGATAAGAGTCCATCAGGCAGGGAAGTAAGCTGACAAGCAGCAGAGTTGGCACCTAGAGAAGGAAGCAGAGAACACATTGGGAATGGCACGAGGCACTTGAAACCTCAAAGCCTGCCCCTAAAGATGTGCTTCTTCCAGCAGTGCCACACCTCTGGGCCTCCCTAAACAGTGCCACCAACTGGAGACCACATGTTCAAAGCCTGTGGGGTACACTGCATTTTAACCACCACAGTAAGTGTGGCTAAGTTAACATTAACTTCCATGTCAAACTCCAGAGTCAGTGGCTCAACATGCACTGTGTAAGGGTTACATGTCTGTGTAAGGGTGTTGGATCCTGGAGTTACAGACAGTTGTGAGCTGCCATGTGGGTGCTGGGAATTGAACCCAGTTTCCCTGGAAGAGCACTCAGTGTTTATAACCGCTGAGCCATCTCTCCAGTCCCCCAGTTCTTATCCAAAGAACTAGGCATTTGGTTTACTTGGGGTCGATGGGGCTGGGATGTGTTACTGAGCTATGTGTTCTTTCTTTATCAACACCTTTAGTAACCTGCACCCAGTCTGTCCCTGGAAATTGGTAGCACTCGTTGACCATTGGGTTCCACTGGAGAAAATATAACCTGATGTGTTGGTGTATTAGCATCAATGTCTGAGCCAGAGGGGATGCATCTAAGTCTTTATTGCTTATTGTTCACTGAATGCTTTGAAAGTTCTAATGCACCTGTGTTGCCTGTGTGGAAGATGGGTCTGCATGGCCTGTATCTCACATTAGTCCTATCTAATAACTGTTCCTCTCACTTCCTCCCAGACACTGAGGGCAAAGGTGTCCTTTCCTATTCTCCCAATTTCCATCCACAACTCTATTTTACCTACTGCCCTTTCCAATCTTCTGTTCGTGAGAGGCCTTCCAACACTAAAAGGCAATCCCTTGCCCTGAATAATCTGCTGTGCGCGCGCGCGCGCGTGTGTGTGTGTGTGTGTGTGTGTGTGTGTGTGTGTATGTGTGTGTATGTAAATTTATTATTAGAAGTGGGTAGCACATGTGTGAAGGCTGGAAAACAACTTTGTGGAGTTGGTTTTCTTTACCAAAGAAATCCTTTACCAAAGATTGTTTTCTATCTGGATTGACCAACCAGCAATATTTTACTCTCTGAACCATATCTCTAGTCCAAATGAAACCTTCTTGGCTTTTTGTTTATTTATATTTGAAACAGGGTTTCTCTATTATGTATCTTTGGCTGTCCTGGAACTCACTCTGTAGAACAAAATGGTTTCAAACTCCCAGAAATTCGCCAGCTTGTACCTCCCGAGTGCTAGGGTTAACAGCATCCACCACCATGTCTGACTATCCAAGCCAAACCTTTTAATCATATAATCTGCTTTTCTTTCCCCCTTACCCCCGTCCCCCAATGAGACAGGGTTTCTCTGTCTAGCTGTCCTGGAACTAGCTCTGTAGACCAGGCTTGCCTCGAACTCACAGAGATCCGCCTGCCTCTGCCTCCCAAGTGCTGGGATTAAAGGTGTGTGCCACCACAGCCCAGTTAATTTCTTTTCTTGTATAGCTATGTTTTCCCCTGAGTTATCTCTTCTGTGTAAATTGCTTGTGGGCCAGAAATGAAGTACTTATTTGGAAAGAAAAACAAAAGACAAAAAGACGGACAAACAAATGACAACAATAACCAGAAAAACCAAAACCCACTTATTGGTTTTAATGATAGAAATCCATAATGAATTTCAAAAGGAATTCTGGACACCTGTGGGAATTGAAGGTTACTTCCTATGGTGTTGAACAAAAGCTGAGGCTCCACCGGGTGCTTTCTTTCTCATCACATATTAAGTGTCTTCCTTGGGGACAGTGTTAGGTGTGTCACCTAGAGGAGTTAGTCTCACTCTGACAAGCCACATGCGGCCTGTAATTTTGAGAACGACTCTGTGAAAGGCCCTCCCCTAGCCCTGACCCAGTCTTTCACAGTATTGGAATCCAAGGACCAGGAAAAACACTGCTAACCTAGGCTTTGGAGATCATATAGCAGCCAGAGAGGCACTATTTTTATCTTCTTGGGCGTGTGTGGTCATGTGTTTTCAATAGCATGGTTTTGGTTTTTTTCTATGTTATTTCTCACAATCCCTGTTGTGTGTTGAATTTGTTTTAGGCGACAGTAGAAAAACCAAGGCCATAGGACCTACCACCTATAAGCCACAGCTGTCTGAGGCAACCTCATTCCAGGAACAGTCACCACTAAGAACCCCAGGAGGCTTGCAGTGGGTGCCAACCAAAGGCCACGATGATGCATCGGAAGTTCAGGAAAGGCTCTTCATACAAGAGACAGAGGCCCAGGAGAAGAAGCTTTCTGGGAAAATGAGTCCTATACTAGATGATATAGGGACAGCTGAGGAACTGCATCCAATGCACATACAGGAGGAAGAGGAAACGATCTTCAAATGCAGAGACTGTGGGAAGGCATTTAGTAAGAAAAACCTTCTTGCTTCACATGAAAAAATCCACTCTGGAGTAAAGCCCTATGAGTGTATAGAATGTGGGAAGACCTTCATAAAGAGCACCCATCTCCTTCAGCACCAGATGATCCACACTGGGGAGAGACCCTATGAGTGTCTGGAATGTGGGAAGGCCTTCAACCGCAAGTCCTACCTTTCCCAGCACCAGCGGATCCACAGTGGAGAGAAGCCGTATACGTGCAGTGAGTGTGGGAAGGCTTTCACACACCGCTCTAATTTTGTCTTGCACAGCAGGAGACACACTGGAGAGAAATCTTTCGCTTGTACAGAATGTGGACAAGTCTTTCGACACAGGAGAGGTTTCCTTAGGCACTGTGTCACTCATGGTGGAGAGGACCCGTCCGAGTGCTTTGAGTGTGGACAGGTCTTTAAGCACAGGTCCTACCTCATGTGGCACCAGCAGACGCACACTGGGAAGAAGCCATACGAGTGCAGTGAGTGTGGGAAAGTCTTCCTGGAGAGTGCAGCCCTGATCCACCACTATGTGATCCACACCGGGGAGAAGCCCTTTGAGTGCCTCAAGTGTGGCAAGGCCTTCAACCACAGGTCGTACCTCAATAGGCACCAGCGTATTCACACTGGGGAGAAGCCGTACGTGTGTGGCGAGTGTGGGAAAGCCTTCACCCACTGCTCTGCCTTCATCTTGCATAAAAGAGCCCACACTGGAGAGAAGCCCTTTGAGTGCAAAGAATGTGGGAAAGCCTTTAGCAATCGGAAAGACCTCATTCGCCACTTCAGCATCCACACTGGGGAGAGGCCCTATGAGTGTACAGAGTGCGGGAAGGCCTTTGCCCTCATGTCTGGTCTTACGAGACACAAGCGCATTCATAGTGGGGAAAAGCCTTTTGAATGTATTGAGTGTGGGAAATCCTTCTACTGGAGCACAAACCTCATTCGCCATGCCATCATCCACACTGGGGAGAAGCCATTTAAGTGCAGGGACTGTGGGAAGGCCTTTAGCCGCAGCTCATCCCTCACTCAGCATCAAAAAATGCACAGTGAGAGAAACCCTGCTGGTGTGTCGCATGAGGGGCCTCTCACAACCACGCACACCTCAGTTACCCTCCAGGAACTCCTTCTAGGCAAAGACTTCTTGAATGTAACCTCTGGGGAAAATCTTTTGTCACAGGAAACAAGTTCCTCAGCATCTGATTATTTATACCAAAGAGAAACTCCACAAGTGTCTTGATTATAAAGAGAGAGAGAGTAAAAAGCTCCTGTTGCAGAATCTTCTCCATCATCTGAAGACCAACATCAGTGTGGCAGATGCCATGGCTCTTCTCTCTGAGATGGACGCTGGTTAGACCCATGCCGGTAAGCCACAGTCAAGTGGCGATACACATTAATGAAGATGGGTTAAACAAATACGTAAGAGTTAGCCAATAAGAGGTTAGAACTAATGGGCCAGGCAGTGTTTAAATGAATACAATTTGTGTGTTGGTATTTCAGGATATAAGCTAGCCGGGGGTCGGGACACAGCCCGCTGCTTTCTCTTACTACACAGCAGCAGCAGACCCAATTTATAGCCATATTTTCCACCTGAAAGTTCACCCAGGAAAGAGACTCATGGTTTGGGGCTTTGGAATTTTGTTTTGTTTTCGCAAAGGAAAAGCTTCAGCTGCATCTCTCTCCTCGTTTACACTGCAATGTTATTTCAGGAATTGTTTTTACAAAGGAACAGATGTAAACAAAAATAAAAACAGGTCTCTTCAGACCTCCCTGCCAAATCTATGACACTTCACTATTGATTCCTTAGCTTATTTGGAGTTAGGTGGGTGTTTCAGAGGTGCAAGGCCTTCTGCCCTTTTTGTGTCTTATGTATTCGTTTGTTGCTGTTCAGTTACTACAGGAGTTAGCTGAGAACAAGCCTGTAAATGTGTGTATATTTTTGTGTCCTACGATAATTTCTTTATTCTTGATCTGTAGCTTTTATGAGGGAGCATTTGAGTCATGAAAATATTTTCTATTTAAGGGAATAAGGATCCATAACTTTCCTAAGTATATCTGTACTTTTGAAAATTCCAATAGTTTTTTCTTTTTTTCCTTTACCAAGATGTATCTCACTGTATGTGTTTGTGCATGTGTGTGTAAGCTTAACTGCTGAGCCATCTCTCTACCCCTAACCATATAAATACAGTGATCTCCATAGCACACAGCTGAAATTTTTGCCTTTTTTTTTTTTTTTTTTTGGTGTGTGGGATACAAATCATAAAGCCTGTGTTTTCAGCTGACTCAGACATTTCTCATGGTAAAACAAAATGCAGTGGAGGTGGGGTACTTTTGTGAGATAGCTCAGTGGTTCAGAGCAATTCTAGAAGATAACGTCCCCTCTCCCAACAAAGCTTGTCCTCGGGGCTAGGGACATCATTTAGGGGTTGATTGTTATTCGTAGGGTTATAACGATTGTTATAGGATTGTTATAGGGTTGGGGGTTGGAGTGGAAATTATGTTAGCACAGAGATCTCCTTGAAAAAAAAAAGAGGGAAAATTGGATGGGATAATAGGTAGATTAGTATGAACTTATACTAATAATACTGAGTAATAGAGTGAATACTTGTAAACTATTATTTATAGACAATTTACATTGATATAGATTTATAGGTTCTTGTATATTGATACAAGTTCAAATTATATTTGTGCGCCTATTTCTGTTTACAATATTTGCACACCTATGCAAAGTTATTTTGTCAGATTGTATGCATGCATGTTTCTACCTCTGCTTAAGATATTTTGTATATTGATACAATTTTAGGAATATTTATCATATTGCATTATATATTTCTACCTCTGATCAAGATACTTAATACATTGTTTACATTTTGAGGTCATTGTCCTCATTTGCTGCACAGTTGTTTAAAGACTGTTTAATATTCTGACTTAGTCTTTTTATACAGGTATTAAGTATTATGGGTCAATAGTCATTCATGTTTATCATACTTATAGTCAGACTAATTAGGTTCTTCAACTACATAGAGATTGTATTCTGCATAGATAGGTAATCTTCAACCACTTCAAAGAGCTTTAGAATATGACATTTAAATAATTTAGGGTCCTGTTGATGTGAGACACGATTGCTCCTGGAGGCACTAATCTATTTCTGAGAGAATGTTGAACACCAAAGACGCTCCACTTGGAGCTTGTTTTCTTCTTGGCAAAAGTGTCCTCATTCCAGAAAAAGTCACCACCAAGAACCCCAGGAGGCTTGCAGTGGGTGCCAACCAAAGGCCTTTGGGCAAGGAACTGCTCATGCCTTGACCACTGACAAAGTGCAGGGTATCTGGACAGGACAAGCAGGATACAAGAAAAAAGACTGGCAAACCTTGCCAAGACACAGGGTAAGAGAGTTCTGAAAATTTTCCTGCCTCTGAAAATGGTCTATCAGTTAGTTACTCTAGGCCTTAGCCAAAGTTGGTTGCTTTCACATTGCAAAATGACTTTGGGTGATTCCCCAGGTAACCAGTTGTCTTTGTCATCTAATGCACATTTTGGAAGTTGCTTCATTGCATTTCCTGCCTACTCAAGTAATATTATCTCCCTTCTCTCACCTTCGATGGTGCTGAAGATGAGATAGTCATAGTTACCTTCCTCCTATGATATAGCCAAGCCATTTCTAATACAACATTTAGACTCTTTAGGATAGAATGATTATTAAAACAGTTAGCATATGCTCCTTGCTTAATATTGTTTATACTGGTTGTAATTCTAATTTTATACTTGATATCTGTTCTTAGTGTATATAGTTTTGTATTGGGTTTGGAACTCTGTTATTTAGACAAAAAGGGGAGGTGATGGGGAACCTCCTTCAACCAATGGCCTTTAAAAGGCTGGACCAGGTTGGGACATGACTTTTGGGACCCAAAAAGCTGCTGTCCTGCCCAGCTCACTCTCTTCTTCCCGTGCTCCACACCTTGAAGTTGGACCCCCATTCCTGTTCCTTGAGCTTTCCCCTTTAATAAAGGAAAACCTTAGAGTACTAGTTTTGGAGTCAGCTTGGGATTGTTTGACTCACATCCCCCACCCATACACATTCAGCATCATATGTGCACAATTTTGAATTTTTTAAAAAAGTTTTTTTTTTATTTTTTTATTTTATTTTTTTTTTTTGTTTTGTTTTTAAGACAGGGTTTCTCAGTGTAGCCCTGGCTGTTGTGGAACATCACTTCATTGACCAGTAGTCTGAAACTCAGAGATCTGCCTACCACTGCTTGCAGAATGCTGGGATTACAGGTGTGTGCCACCACCGTGCATTTTGAATAAGGAGTATTTTCCAAGCCAAATAAAGCAGAGGATAATAGCTCTCCCTAGTGTGGCTCTGTAGTTCTAATGTTTTCTTCTTTTTTTCTGATTTTTCCTCCACAAGGTCTGTCTACATAGCCCTATAGCTGAGCTGGCTCCGTGTTAAGAGCGCTGTTGTGCTTGCAGAGCACTTGCGTCTGGTTCCCAGAATCTGTATGATGGCTAACAGCCATCCCTAACTCCGTTTGCAACTAATCCCTGTGGGCACTAGCCATGCGCATCTTTAATCCCAGCACTCAGGAAACAGGCAGGTGAACCTATGAGTTCCAGGCCAGCTGGGGTATATAATGAGACCCTCTCTCCAGAGAAAAAGACGAGGAAGAAGAAGGCACCAAATGTAGTGTGCCTTCAACCCTAGCAATCATGAGGCTGAAGCAGGAGGATTGTGTAATGTTTGAGGCCAATTTATACTACCTAGTTTCAGGTTATCCAGGGCTACATAGTGAATTCCAGACCAACCTGGGCTACAGAGTGAGATCCTGTTTCAAAAAAAAGCTAAAGAAAAAAATAAATAAAACCCTAAGCAATAAAAATTAAAAATGGAGAGTTATATACATTTTGCTCTTCAGATAACTCTCTTAAAGCCATGGTTAATCTTTGTATACAGGCAATGTCACAGCAATTCTTTATTATACTTGATTGTCTGGGAGGAGGACACGCCTCAGTGTTCCTGTGGAAGGCGGAGGACCATTTTCAGGAGTCTGGTCTCTTTCCACTGTGTTCCCCAAGGATCAAACTCAGGTTGTGTGAAAGGAACGGTGGGCTGCGTTCCCGCCTGGCTCCCGCACGGCTAGCTTTACACCCGAAATAACAACACATAAATTGTATTCTTTTAAACACTGCCTGGCCCATTATTTTCAGCCTCTTATTGGCTAATTCTCACATCTGGTTTTTACCCATATTTAGTAATCTGTGTAGCACCACGAGGTGGTGGTTTACCGGGAAAGGTCCTAACCTACATCTGTCTCGGAGAGGAGAGTCATGGCGACTGCCTCATTGCCTTCTTCCCAGCATTCTGTTCTGTCTACTCCACCCACCTATGTTCTGACCTATCAGGCCAAGCAGCTTCTTTATTAATTAACCAATGAAAACAACACCTACATCAAGGTTGTCAGGTTTGGTAATGAGTGTGCCTTTACCCTCTGAGCTAGCTTACCAACCCTTCACAGCAACTTAGACTTTTATCAGTTGACTCAGCCAGTCAGGAATACAAAGAGACCCTGGAGTGATGGCTTCTCTCTCTTTCTGTGCCCCCTTAGTTTTTGATGTTTTCTCCCTTTTTGTTCTCTTAATTCCCTTCCCACTCTCCCTTACTCTGTCTTTTTTTTATTGTATTTATGTGTGTATGGATGTCTTGCCTATATGTGTATCTGTGCACCACATGCGTTCCTGGCCCAGAGACGCCTTAAAAGGGTATCAGACTCCCTGAGACTGGAGCTAGAGACAGCTGTGAGCCACCTCATGTCTGATGGGAGTCAAACCCAGTTCTCTGAAAGCAGCCAGAGCCCTTCATCTCTGAGCCTCCTCCCTAGCCTTGTCTTTTAAGATTTCTTTTCATACTGGTATTGAGCCCAGGTTCTTTAAAAACATGTTTTTAATTACATTTGTTTATGTGTGTGTGCGCATGGCACCTGTAGCAGCAAAGGACTTCCCTTCACGTGGATCCTGAAGTTCTGAGCATAGATGCTCAGCAGCGGCAGCAAGCATCTTTACCCACTGAGTCATCTCGCCGGTCCTGAACCCAGCTTCTTGCATGCTAGGCAAGCAGTGCACCACTGCACTATGCCCCAGGCCTTTTTACTGTTTTGAGTCAGGGTCTCACTAAGTTACCAGGCTAGACTTGAACTTTCTTGCTTTCTCGTTGGACTGAAGAAATGACTGAGTAGTTAAGAGTGCTGTCCCCTCTTCCAGAGGCTCCTGATGTGATTCTCAGCACTAATGGCTGCTCACAACTGTATGTCACAGCCGTGCCAGGGCATCTGATAGCCTGTTCTGGCCTCTTCAGGCACTAGGCATACATATGGTGCACAACACATTCAGGCAAAATGTCCCAACACAATCAAAGCAAATCATTTTTCAGCGTGCATGTGGGTACACATGCCAATGTCTGGAGGTCAGAAGACATTTCTGGAGCTGGTTATCCCCTTTCACAAGTGTGTTCCTGTGATCTAACTCAGGTGACCAGACAGCAAGCACACTTATCAGCCGAGTTCTCTCGCTTGACCTTTTTATCTTCCTGCCTCAGCTTCCCCAGTAGGTGGAATTGCAAATCTGCACCACAAAGGAGGCCTGGGTAATATTTTTTTATCCTTCTAGTCTGCCTCAGAAGTAACTGGCACGGGTAATCTGTCTAAGGACAAAGGAAAAGGAAGACAATCTGTCTTAAAGTTAAGAGGACAGGGACTGGGGATGTGAGAATGTTTGACTAGCATGAATGAGGCCTTGGTTCACCCAGTTCTGCAACACACACACACACACACACACACACACACACACACACACACACACGGCTGCCCTTCCAGAGGATCCAGGTTCGAGTCCCAGCACCCATGTGGAGCTCACAACATCTGTAACTCCAGTCCTATGGGATTCAATGCTCTCTTTTGGTCCCCAAGGGCACTGGGTAGTCATGTGGTACGTAGACATACATGCAGGAAAAAAAATACATATTCATAAAACTAATGAAAATAATTTTTAAAAATAAATGAAGAGCCAGGGGTTTCTCATCTGTAGAATGTAACACAAGCCTGTGTTCAATTCCCAGCACCACACAAGAGCCGGAGCCCTTCCCCCTTCCTTTAAAACAAGCAGTTATAAGTTCTTTCTGGAGACGTTGTCTCCTCTGTTCTTCACAGCAGTTATCACT